AGCACAAGTTGGCGATCAAGAGGGGCAAACAGTATTCGCAGATCTGGTCACACATGGCTGAAAGTGGCCACAGCTTTGACTTTGACCACACACAAATCTTGGCCAGTGATGCCATGAAGGGGGGCCGTCTGCTAAAGGAGGCCTGGTTCTCCGGGGAAAATTCTATCAACCGCCACATAGACATGTGCCCAGTACAATGGACATTACAGACATGGCACATGAACCACCATTTGAACCATTGGAGAAGACCAAGGCATCAACCATGCGACTGGGAGAAGAACAGGGCACCCCCCATACGGCACGGTCAAACAGATACCCTTTTAACATCTGATCAGGACGGCACAACCTTAAATAACTCCCCGCGAACGGCAGAGATTCATCGGAAGCCCGACCATCGACAACGGAGAAATTCCCCAATAGAATGAACGGACGTGTTGTGACAACCAGACCACACCAGGAAAGAGAGAACAAAACCCCCCCAACTGATCCAGTAAGAGAACGAAGGATCGTGAGATGGATCGTTACTAATGTATCCACAAGGAGTTTTACTCAGAAAAACAGGGGGAGAAGTGATGGACCTGACAGCACACAAATGGAGATAACAACCATAGAAAGGGAGGGGAGAATGGAGAACATGGTACGGGATAGAACGCTTAAGCTGCGATCTAAACAACGACAGACCAGCACATGTATACCTCAAAATGGTTGCTCCCAGGAACATGGGGGGGGGGGATGGCGATGGATGTAAGGAAGTACAAATTGAGACAACAGACGGGTGGGAGAATAGCATAAAATGGGATGGAACATGTGAATCACGATCACAGAAGAGGGGGGATCGGACTGTAACTCGATTAAGACAATTGGAGGAACTAGGAGGAAACAGGAGACAACATACATACCCCCTAGCAAACAGAACCATGAGCAAGAGGCTGGTGGGAGGGAAATAACCTCCACTCGTAAGGGAAGTGAAAGTATTCCAGCCAACCTTAAGATTAGCGAAGGAGATATGCGCGATGGAGCACAGAGAAGGAGTAAGAAAGAACTACACCCTGATGCAAGACACACACTCAGATTACAGCACGCTCAGCTGGGACCTGTGACACGGTCCAGGAGCCGAGTGCAAATGATTAGCGGTTGCATATAAGTTTCCCAACGACTACTGTTTACACCCTGATGATGTCAAGAGCTCTTGACGAAAGCTAGGTTCAGTAAATCAAATCTTTTATATTTTTATATTTTTATTCTCTTGGTGATCAACTATTTATTGACATATATATATCTTATCTGTTGGGTGAAGCACCCGGTCTACCAAATATAAATCAGTCTGTTCTGCGTTTCACTCCAATCTAAGAGCATGTTTTGCAGGCAGACGTCACATACTGTGAACACTATAAATTCAAAATTTTGTGGCTGGCAGAGGGCACTAACTCTTGTATGTATGTATGTATGTATGTATGTATGTATGTATGTATGTATGTCTTTGGTTATTCAGTTTTTCTCCCACGTAAAATTAGAAGTGTCTTGGCGACGTTTTGACAAAGTCTCATTCGTCATCTTCAGGCTGGTGCTTTCGGCTTCGTGCTCCTTCACACAACTTCACACAAAAAGATTCCTCCTAGACCGAATTAACAAAGATCTCCTCACACTCTACCTCAAACTCAGCAACAAGATCCACCCCGCACTTTGGGACAAATCCAAACAACTCGCCGTCTGGAGAGCCGAAACACAGACCACCCTCAAGACAGATACACACACCAACAAACTCCGAAGACTACAAGAACGCCAGAAACAAACCCCTCCTCCCTCACAGCCACACATGAAACAAACAGTGCATAACATCTCAGATAGGATCCTCACCAAAGCCGAAACCAATGTCCTTTCCAAAGGATTCAACTTTGCAGTCGCTCCCAAACACATCCCCACTGAAACCATTATATGTGGAGTTGAAACCAGCCTGACCAAAATCAACCCCGACGACGCTAACAGAATCAGACTCGAAATCACCAACATCCTCTGCACCAGCAAGCCACCCAAAAGCAACTTACCCAAAGAGGAACAGACAGCACTACGTAACCTGAAAGAAGACACCAGCATAATAATCCTACCAGCAGACAAGGGCAACGCCACGGTGGTTATGAACACATCTGACTACCAAACCAAATTAACCAACCTACTCCAAGACTCCACATACAAACCCCTAAATACAGATCCCACCACCTACCTGGAAAAAACCACCAGATCCAAAATAAAAGCCTCCCCCATTAGCGAAGAGATCCAGCAAAGAATCATTCCCAGAGAGAAATCATCCAGATGCCCCAAACTCTATGGTCTCCCCAAGATACACAAAGAAGGAACCCCACTCAGACCTATAGTCAGCTCCATAGGCTCACCTCTACAAAACCTAGCCAAATTTCTCGCCAAACAACTACAGCCCTATGCAGAATCCATCACCTCACATGTAAAAAACTCATTCCAGTTTATAGAGATCATAAAGAAACAAAACTTACAGCCCAGCGACCTACTAGTGAGCTTCGATGTCATATCCCTCTTCACCCAAGTGCCTATCAAAGAAGCCTTGACAGCTATTCAAAACAAATATAACCCCCCCAAAACACATCTTAGATCTGACCAACCACTGCCTATCCAACACATACTTCATCTATAATGGACAAAAATACAAACAAACAGAAGGAGCACCCATGGGATCACCCCTCTCACCTGTCATTGCCAACCTCTACATGGAACACTTTGAAACCCAAGCTCTAGAAAAATCGGATCACAAACCCAAACTCTGGCTCAGATACGTAGACGACACCTTCATAATCTGGCCACATGGGAAAGAAAAACTGGACAACTTCCTCATACACCTCAACAGCCTACACCCCAAAATACAGTTCACCATGGAAACAGAAGCTAACAACCAACTTCCCTTCCTAGATGTCTTAGTCTACAAGAAATCCAATGGCTCCCTAGGACACACCATCTACCAGAAGAAAACACACACAAACCGCTATCTGCACGCTCTCTCACACCACCACCCAGCACAGATCAACTCTGTAGCCAAGACACTCATCTCCAGAACAAAACGCTTAGCTGACGAACAACACCTAAAAACCGAACTACACACTCTCACCAATGTACTAACATCCAATGGATTCCATAGAAATAAGATTACAAACCTAATCCAAAAAGAAACCCCCACTAAAATCCAAGACAAAGAACAAGAAAACGGCAAAGCCCTCCTCCCATACATAAAAGGCACCACAGACAGAATCAGTAAGATCCTCCATAAACACAACATCAAAACAGCATTCTGCACAAACAGAAAAATATCCACCATCCTTAGAAACCCCAAAGATAAAATTGAATTAGAAAATCAAGGAGTATACGAAATCCCATGCACCACTTGTCCCACCACATACATCGGACAAACCAACAGAAGAATAAGTGCACGCATTGAAGAACATAAGAACTCAGTCAAAAAAGAGGAACCAACATCTTCCCTGGTCCAACACCTTAAAGCCACAGGACATGAAATTGACTTTAAAAATACCAGAACCATTGCCAAAAGTGAACATTTTAATAACAGAATAATCAGAGAAGCCATCGAGATAGAAAAACGCCCACACAGCATGAACAAGCGAGATGATACCTCCCGCCTACCAGCCATTTGGAAACCCGCCCTTATTGACAAACGACTCCCTAACACAAAAAATGATACCAGACCCACACTCACAAAAACCACACAGGATGTCACCACCACACATCCACGCAAAAAACAAACCCAAAGCCACATCGATGATGAGGCACGACCACAAACCAGAAGCCAGACCACAGCTGCATCATTAGCCACTTTAAACCCCTCCATTCCATACATGAAGCAAACTGACACCCTCCATGAAGAGGAGGCACGACCACGAACGCGAAGCCAAAAAATAGCAAGGCAGCCCAAAATCTTAAACCCCTCTGCAACTCAGACTAACCTGAGCACAACCAAACAGAACACTCCCCCAGCCAATCAGAGCACAGCCAACCCCCCAGCCAATCAGAGCACAGCCAAGCCCCTAACCAATCAGAACACACCTCCACCCAATCAGAACACAGCCAAGCTCCCACCCAATCAGTTCATACCCCCACTGGCAGTTAAAAGGAAGAAACAGCTAAGACCACACATTGCTGCTCAAAGCACGAAGCTGAAAACACCAGCCTGAAGATGACGAATGGGACTTCGTCGAAACGTTCGCCAAGACACTTCCAATTTTACGCGGGAGAAAACCCGAACAACCAAAGACCTACATATATATATATATATGTGTGTGTGTGTGTGTGTGTGTGTGTGTATGCATGTGTATATATATATATGTGTGTGTGTATGTATGTATGTATGTATATATGTATATGTATGTGTGTGTGTGTGTGTGTGTATAAAACCCCTTCACCTTGTTTTCCTTGAGAGAATATGATACATGAGAATTGCAGCAGAACCTGCCTCTTCAAACCTTTTAAAGCAGCGGTTCTCAACCTGTGGGTCGCGATCCCATTTGGGGTCGAACGACCATTTCACGGGGGTCGCCAAACAATGCAGTCTGCCATTTCCCCCCCCCCCTTTTCCTTAGCTGTGCTACTCCCTTTTATTCTATTGGCTTTCGAAAGCCAATGGAATAGACTCTCTTGAATAGAGTCTAATTCTATTGGCTTTCAAAAGCCAATAGGAATTGTCCAGGCTGTCTCTGCCTTGCTGAGCCCGCCAAAAGTCCCATTCTGCAAACGGTGCTGCAAGTTGTCTGCAGCGAAGGCGAGCTGTCTGGAAGTTTCCACCCCTCCCTGCTGAGCAACTACTAAATATGTAAGTAAAAGAGGGCCAGGGGTGGGAGGTGGGAGGCCAGCGGGCGCAGGGAGGGTTGCTGGCACACGTGGGGCCCGGCGGGTGGCCCAGCCGGTAGTCGGCCTGCTCTGTCTCTGCCACTTGCCAGCTACGCCTCGGCCAGCGCAGGGGGCGGCACCACGCATGCGCAGTGCTCCCAGGCAGGGAATGTCCTCAACGTACGACCGGTTGGGTAGTCCTCAACTTACGACTGGTTGGGGGTCGCGGCATTAAAAAGGTTGAGAACCACTGTTTTAAAGGTATTAGCATTAGCATCAACCCCATAAAAAAAGGGTTTCTCCAATTAGAAGTATGTCCCATTACAGTGGTACCATGGTATTCAATGTTAATTGGTTCTGGGAGGTAGGACAGATACTAAAAAGTACAAGTGCCAAACAAACCAGGTGACTTACCACATGGCCCTTTGTTTTAGCCAGGAAAAACTTTCTTCTGTCCTTTTGCCTATGTCAGTGACCTTCCCAGTATGGCCAACTTCCAGTCCACCCTCTGCAGCTGTCCCCCATCTTCCTTTTGCAGTGTGCCAAACACCAAAGAAACTAAGAGTACCAACACAACATTTTTGCACCAAAGTGCATCAAATAAATTCAATGAGTTTTGAAGCAGTTGAATACCAAGGTACCATTGTATTGAGAAATTGCCAAGGATTCACTTAGAGGGGAAGCTTCTAAGCTTTCTCAACCTTGGCAACTTTAAGATATGTGGTCTTCAACATATCTTACCATGTATATGTATTACCATGTATATCATTTAAAATACACCAGCCATTAAGGCCAGGACTCCTCCTTTTCTTCTCTATTTTCAAAATGAAAGCTGTGACTTTCAGCCAGCAGAATATTTCTCTGAGCTCCCATATTCTGTACTTATATGAAATTATATTCCATGCTTAGCCTTTTTAACACTCTAGCTGTACAAACTGTGCAAAAGCACACATGGCAGCTGTCTTTGCTTTAAATGCAAGACACTACATGTTGCTATTCTCATTAATCAATCTCCATCTTCACATTCACATTCACAGGAGGAAGGAAAAGAAAAAACAGCCCTTCTGTTTCAGCCTCAGGTTCCCATTTGTTCTACATTTTGATAATTCCATTCTGCTCAACTACATGTTATACCTGGGCCCCTGCTGATTGTCTCTTAACTCTACTGAACCAATTCCAATCTTATTTTTCCACACTGGCTTCATACATGTCCACAAGTTATATCAAGTGATGAAACATGTAGCATCAGACAATGCATGTGTTATCTATGGTTTACATACTTGCCTCTGACCTTGGGATCTATAATAAAAGACATCACACACATATTACCATTGTGCTTAGCTACAAATATCTAGGATTGTCTTCTCAAACTTTTTGGAGTACTTGGAATTAATGTTCTAAGTCTCCTCAGAGGCACCATACCAGCTGGAATCAAAACCTAATCTTTTTTAAAAAAAATCAATTCTTGCCCCATCACCTGTTTCTCAATTTAGTTCTTGTAATCCAATCACCCATTTGGGATTACATGTATTAACACTTCCTTTTGAGTGTTTCCACACCTCTTATCTCATCACTTTACCCTACTATATCTGGCTGCTACTTCTGGAGAGGTGTCATTTCACTTTCCCCAGAATTCATTGTGGAAAAAAAAGCTTTAAATCTCCCCACTTCCTCTCCCCCCCCCAAAAAAAAGAGGTAGAAACTGCATCCAAAATAGCGGATCTCGCTGATGGTCATTGTCCTTTTTTTCTCTCCTTCCCAAAAAGTCCTAAGATGGGACATTTGGGCATTCTGGAGAGAAACACCCCCCCCCAGAAAATACAAGCTGATAGATGCATGAAATAATGTAAGTTGCCATGTCATTCCTAAAAGTATTGGCTTGAGTTTCTGTTCATATTTATGCTTCTTTTCCCCTATTTTCCCCAAAAGGAATGCATCATCTTTATATCTGTTCTATGAACCAACAGATCTCCTTTCCCTTGGCTAATTCAATCAATATTCTGACCTAGAAGAATCTTCTTCCTTTATTGCATCTATCAACACAGCGACTAATGCTCTTTGTTGACAGGACTAAAAGTAATTTGGAAAAAAAAAAAAGATTCATGGTCCGAAGTCCAGAGGTTTCATGGGGAAGGGGATCAAAATCATAGGTGCCACTAGGCACCTGAAGCCCCCCTCTCTTTTTTAATGTGTTTTATGTATCTCATGCACCAAAAAGGAGCAGGGCTTCAATCACCTAAGTCATACCAACACTTTGATACTTTTTACTGCCTCATTAAGGCTCTAGCTGAAGCCTATTCATTTATATCAGTGTGATGCACTTTATAAAGCATACAAAGTCACATTAACTACTCCGCATTTTTTGCACATGCACTTGTCTGCATCATGTTGCCTGAAAATTGGAGGCATTGTGCTTTTTAAATGGACTGGCCAAATGTTTTGAACAAGCTGATCCTCCATGTTTGGTGAAAATTCTCTTAGCCTGTCTGGAGTGTCTAGTGAATCTTTTAAATAAATGGCGCACCTAAATTTTCATGCACAGCACATCTGGTGCTCTAATGCCATTCTGCATTAAAAACTCCTCTATTAATTATCTCAACAGAACCTTGCACCAAGAGTGTGAGATGTAGAAATAATCTGGTTAGCTTGGCTGATGGAGCAAAAGAAAGAAATGAGATCCAAGGTCTTGGATTCTTATAAAAACATACCTGCCCATCCTTCATATTCTTATGCTGGCATCTTTCAGCACTACCTCCTGTGAAGTCTGACTCCAAGCAAAGCCACACAAAGGCAATATAAAGCTATCTCTTCCAGCAAACTCAACCAGCTCACCTTTCCAAAGCATAAAAGTCTTCCCACTACATTAATCGTAAGTGCTGAAAACAGCTATTTGTCACCGCCTTTCATTCCAAAATCGCCACCAACACACACAGGAAAGTCTACACTTGACTCTAAAACAGAATTATCTGGATTGATAGGGACCTTTCCTTTCTTACTCATACCCCTTGCTTAATCATTGTTAGGAACATATTCTCTTCTGACTTACATGCTTGTTGGTAAACTATGAAGTCTGCATCTGTGCATGAGTTCTTGTGGCAAAGTTGTTGAAGAGGTTGCACTATTAAGAAAGTTTTATGAATAGATAGCCCTACTTGAAAAGATGCCTATCAAGGGCTACAGGTCCGACACCAATATTCTGATAATTTTTCTGACAGTGAGAAGAATTAATCAATAGAATAGCTTGTTCCTGGAGTTGTGGGTGTTCCATCACTGGAGGTTTTCAAACATAGACTAGACAACCATTTGACTGGGATGGTACAAGATCTCCTGCCTTGAGCAGAGGGTTGGACTAGAAGACCTCTGAGGCCTCTTCCAATACTAGATTCTATGGTCTAAGTAAGGCTTTTCCAAAGCTTGGATAGTTTGGAACAAAATACCCAGGTATACAGTTACCATAGTTATCTGAAAATCTGAACACCTTAATTCAAGAGCAAGACACATGCCTGCTTTCTTCCTCTTAGATGACTGGGGTTTTGTTCTGTTTTTACAGCAGTTTTCCTGCCACATAGCAATTTACAAATTCTTTGGAGGCAGGCACTAATTTGGAGACAAGAAAGGGGTGGTTATAAAGAGAAAATGAAAACTGTACATGTCCAAAGAGCATTTTAGTCCCACACTGCTTTCCCAAACAATGACAAGCTGATCTTTTCTGCCCAGAAAGCATCTTAGCTTTCAGAAGAAATTCCATTGCTTCCTCCAATCTCCTGTGGCCATGTTGATAGGAGGTGGATTTTGCTTGTTGTCTGCTGTCTGTAGTGCTGGGTTCTTTCCAGCTGCTGAGTCTTAGCATCACAAGGAGACCCACCGGGATGCCCATTCCGCACACCAGTATCCATATACATAGAAATGACACGCAGGTATCAAACTCATGGCTGGCATATGCACAACACTGTGTACATCGGTTGAGTTTGTATAGGCTCTGCTCTGCTGGCAACTAGAGAAGCAGGAGGAGGAGGATAGGAACAAAAATGAAGGTAGAGAATGAACAACACAGTCCTTGTATCTTGCCTTTTTTTCATTTTTATTCCATTGCATTGCTTTGTTTTTTCTCTCTCTCTCATTCTAATCCAAAAAAAGTCTGGGTGCAAAATGCAGGTTTGGCCCAAACCCAATACAAACACTTGCCTTTGGATGCTATCTGGTCTCCAGTGAATCCAGATATTCCAGGGCTATGTCATAGCAGAAGTGGTATTGTTCCTTTAAGGAAAGGGAAAATAAGAGAGTGAGTACATGCAAATTTGGGGGATTTTGTGTGAAAAGCAGCTTAGGTAAAAGTCCCCTTTTTCCCCTGGGCCATCCACTGTTCATTGTCCACCAATCATATACAGTCAGTTTGTTTTGGGAATAGTCTGTGCCCTTCAGAGGTTTCCCAGTGTTTAACCTTGAGGTATAGAAATTCTCTCAGGTCACAGACAGTGCTTGAATTCTTCAATTCTCTCCCAGCTCCCCATATATTCCAATTACTCCCCTCCCCCCTCCCTAGTTTCTGTTGTCTGGCTGTAAGCAGAGATGTATTAGAAGTCAACCATGACAGACTCACTTAATAACCACCTTGCTTAACAATGGAAATTTGGGTCCCAATTGTGGCTGCAAGTCAATAATTTCCTGACTACGTTTTATTCTCTCTAAGTGGTCCTTGGTTAGGGTTGTTTGTTATTCCCTATTTTAGCTAAGTACCTACTATATTTGGTGGTATGGATTGCAACCCATCACAAAAGTTCTCTTATGTAGTGAGTTGTTTATAAAGGCTTTTAATAAAATAATAATATAATAAATAAAAAAGAGCTGCTGGAAAGTGGTCCTGGGAGAAGATTATTTAACCTTGGCTGTGGTCTTAATTTAAAAACCCTGATTGGCCATTATGGGAAACAATAATTCAATATAGTACCTGCAGATACAATATTTCCTCAGTTGATTACAATTTAATTAAATATGATTTTTTTAAAAAAAATAGGGCTGAAACTTTATGTGAGATTTCAACAGTTACATGTCATCTCAGGATGAACTTGCCAACATTTTTCAAGATTTACAGCCTAGAAACATAACATTGCCTAATGGCACCAGAGGCCTGAAAAATTAGTGACCCCTAAGATAAGCCTTCAGTTGATGAAGGATGTGGCTTTTTATTTTTGTAGTCCAAAAGGAAGGTGACTTACTACCTACTTGTCAGAAAGCCTAAATTAAGTTCCCTCTTTTATATAGGAGCAACCATTTCATGAAAATCCTTGTATGTCTTGTTTTAAAAGACAGGGCAGCTGTTTTCAGCTGAGGCAACTAAGTTCTGAAAATAATGAAATACTGTCTACTCTAGGAAGAATTAAGTCATAGCAAAAGGGTTCCAGTTATAAGGTAATTGTGACAAAGATATACAGTATAACTGATTAAGTTACTCGTAAATTCCAAAAAAGTTCTATTGCACAAAGTGATCTAAAGATGCAATGAATCCTTTATTCAAAATCTAATAATGTCTTGGAGCGGGTGGTAGAGGAAGAAAAATAAATAGCTCAAGAACTGCTAAATTATTCCAGTTAGGAAAACATTATAAAAGCATGGGTCTTGGATCCTCTGAATTTAAGAGCAAGAATGATGTAATCGTTGAATTGAACAATAAACACTGGGATAGTTTTGTTGAGCATAACCCAGAAGTATAGGAGAAAGATATTCAATGTTCCATAACGTGTTACAAGATAACTCACAATTCCTATCCTCCGTGAGCTGCACTGGTTGCCTATTGGTCTCCGGGTCCAATTCAAGGTGTTGGTTATTACCTTTAAAGCTCTATATGGCTCAGGGCCAGGCTATTTGTGAGACCGCCTACTACCTCATAGTTCCCTTCGTCCGGTTAGATCCCACAGGCTGGGCCTCCTTCAGGTCCCGTTGGCCAAGCAGTGCCATTTGGTGGGGCCGCGGGGGAGGGCTTTCTCTGTGATGGTGCCCACGTCTTGGAACCAGCTCCCCCCGGAGATTAGGACCGCTCCCACCCTGTTGATTTTCCGCAAGCTGCTTAAGATCTGGCTTTTCCGGCAGGCCTGGGGTTTATAAAATCTGACCCCTGGATGAATGTTATTGTATTGTTTGTTTTGTTTTGTTAAGTTATGTTGTGTTTTTATTGTTAGCCGCCCGGAGTCCTGCGGGAGTGGGGCGGTCTATAAATTTTAATTAAAAAAAATTCACAAACTATTATATGGGTCGGGACACAATTATCTTTTCATTTTCACATTTCTCTGAATTTTATAATACAGCTCTCCAAATTGTGTAAAATGCATTCATTTCTCACACCAAGCAAAAGTATGTTAAGTAAGACAATGTACAAAACTGGGCAGTGGAAGAAAGCCTGTGCTAATATATGCAAACTGATATAGAAACTAGTCTAATGTAGCAGTTTTATCTTTATGAAAATAAAAAGAATTAGAAACTTGTAGAAAGTGAGGCTGGCAGATCTTCTACCTCTATTTTAACCTCAGGGCTTTTATGTCCTATTTTATTCAGCAGAATAGTTGTGAGTTTGAAATTGGGGAGAGGAAAATACTTATGCTATTCTGATCTACTTGGATAAAAAACAAACAAAGTATAAATGTTGGCATAAATAATATAAATAACCTTTTCCCCATTATTCTTTCTACTCAAAGTAGCTGGAAAAGTATAACAGCACTTGCTACAGTCCTACACACACTCTAAGCACTAACTACAATCCAATACACACTCTACCAAGTGTGTACCATTCCTTTGAGGTAATCTTGACTCTTGGCAACCACATAGCCAAATGCCTGCAATTTTCTTGGCAATTTCTGGAAATAATTTGCTGTTGCCTTCTTCTGAGGTTGCAGAGAGAGTGATTGGCCAAAGGTCACACAGCTGGCTTTGTGCCTAAGACAGGATTAGAAGTCTTGGTCTTCCAGTTAATAACCCAGAGCCTTTAACTTCAACTGGTTGAAAAAAATTATGCAGATGTGATTGTTTACTGAGCAATGAGTTACAGCAGAGGTCCCCTACCTTTGGGGCACCAGGGACCAATTACGTGGAGAGAGATTTTTCCACAGACTGGAGGAGACATGGTTTTGTGTGCTAACTGCATCACGTGGATGGGGCTTTGATTGTTTGTGCGGCCCAGTTGCTGGCATGCCACGGCCCGGTATCGGTCCACGGACTGGGGGTTGGGGATCCCTGAGCTACAGAGTTACTGTATAGTTTCTACCTGCCCCATCAGATCCAGTACAGAAGTTGGGGGGGGGGGAGGCAAAGGATTCTCCTGCCCAGTCACGTTCAACTTCAGGGGACAGCGCTCATCTCCATTTCCTAGCCGAGGGAGCCAGGGTTGTCCAAAGATGCTTCTGTGGTCATGTGGCCAGCATGATTATACACCGAGGTGCACAAAATGCTGTTACCTTCCCACCAAAGTGATACCCGTTTATCTACTTGCACTCGCATGCTTTCAAACTGCTAGTTTGGCAGGAGCTGGGGCAAAAACAGGAGCTCACCCCATCATGTAATACTTGGGTCTTGAACTGCCAACCTTCTGTTTGGTGAGCCAGTGTCATAACCATTATGACAACCATTAAACAATGTTGGAGTTGGGCAGAACATCAGAAAGGAAGAGATCAAAGAGATTAACATAGTACTTTTGGATTGAAAAAAAAATTCTACTTCTTTATAATAATGTAGATAAATAAAATCCCAGCATCAGAGAAGGATGCTTGCAGGGGCCAGATCCTTAACAGACACAGATCATGAAGCTCTACTAATAGCAACGCTCTCATTTATTCCTGCAGTGAGATCATTAAGCTAAGTCTCAGGAATCAGATTTTGCAGGCTCAATAGAAGTTGGGGGAAGATTGAGTTCTGGTTGAAAACACTAGTTTGCATATCCTAATACCTTACAATTTAGCCCAATAGGTTATACAACTCAATGCCAGTTCACTTTTTTTTTTTAAATTGCCTTGGCTTAATTCCATCCTTCATCTTGCTCAATTGAATTTTTTCTCTCTGTAATGCTATCAGAGCAACCTCTATAGGCATTTCATCTCGCAAGGGAGAAATTTCATAATCCATAATTCAAAATCCAAACCTTGTATTTCCCCTCTAAAGCAATGTTTAAGACATGCCTCTCTTTCTTCTTCTACACAACAGAAAATCTGCCCAATATTGCTGAATCTATAGCTCCTGGCATCCTTCCCCCATTGGCCATGCTAGCTGAGGCTGTTGGGAGATGTAGTTCATAACATATAAAATATCTATTTTATGTTTTGTAGAGGACACTTTGAGAGAGAAGACATGGGAACTGTACACAGAGAAAACATTTCCTCTGAGATATTGTATATGCAATTATGCTTCCTGATCTGATTAAATGGGCGTATCACTTCTCTCTTCCATTCTGATTTGGTTTAATGATATTACAATGTGGCCAATCAATCAACCCTGATTGTTTTTTGGAACGACAGATACTGAAGCTGAAGTTCAAATACTTTGCCCACTAAATGAGAAGAGAAGACTCCTTGGAAAAGACCCTGATGTTAGGAAAGACGGAAAGGCAAAAGGAGAAGGGGATGCCAGAGAATGAGATGGTTAGATAGATTCACAAACACAATGAACATGAATTTAGGCAAATTCCAGAAGCAGTGGAGGATAGGGTGCCTGGCGTGCCATGGTCCATGGGGTTGTGAAGAGTAGGAGATGACCGAAAAACAACAAAATGTAGGCAGCAAGTGTTACACTACACTGTAGTGTTCATTTATGTATTTATGCATTTGTGATGTGACATATTAAAAACCTACTTTATTTTCATTTTCAGAACACACAAAGCATAGTGGGAAAACTAGATATTGGTTGCATATCATTTCATCAGACCAAAAAGCTTATACCATCTGGCACCAGGGATCAGACTAAACACCAATCTATAGTAGCTCTTTGTTCTTCAAAAGGGCAACCAATTTCTTTCCAGACAATTCTAAGCATGACATGAATGGAAATTTCTACTGTTTTATTTGAATTTAGTGGCATGATGAATTCTACCAGCTGTGATGATTCCACAGAATTTCCATATCAAAGGTTCACAGTAATTGGTATAAACTTCTGAGTATGGACATTCTTTTGATAGTTGAAAAATGCCCCTATCCACCTTCTGTTTTCGTAAGTAATAGTCACATTTTACAGGAGCAAGTTCCATAATTTCTTGAAGAAATACGAAAACACTCTTTAAGAAAAGTAGGTCAAATAAATACTACCCACTACTTACAAAGGTCTCGACCATATTTGGCTTATAGTTGCGAAGGGTCTTTGCGGCAAAAAAAACATCCACCAGCTTGTGGCACCTGATCATCTCCAGGATCATGGTGCAGGCGCAGAAGGTACCACTCCGTCCACCTCCATTCCTAAAGCAGAAATTAGACACATGAAGAAAGCATCTAAAAGGAGCCTAATAAGAACAGTAGAGCAGTAGTCCATATTAGGCCTAGCATTAGGGAGAGAACAAGCAAATAAAGCAAATATAATGTGTCCAGTTCTTCCATATCATTATCCAGATCGCTTCAGAAAGATTAAATTAAAAGATGGGTTGATGCTACTCACAAGGCATGTTGCTGAAATGAACTGAGTTGAGAAAAGATGTAGAATTTATGGCATTTATGTATCGTGTTTAGTATGATTTATCTGACCCTTGAAAACCATGTTGTTTGGAAGCTTTAACAAAGGGCTCTCATCATAGGTAACTTTGTAAAATGATGCTTTAGTCAAATACTGCCCAGCTTACAGAGACTTTTGTTCAGCAAACAGTAAAGAACTCATTCTTTTATTATTGTCTTCGAAGTGTGGAACACACAAAGGAATTACAATCAATTCTCACTGTCTTTGACTTTAGAAAAAGCAGCAAGATATATTGCCTCATCCTAGATATTAATTGGTTTAACTGATGACTTTCTACTCGATGTTGCTGGAGTTATGCTATGATATATATATTTTTAAAGTAATCATCTCTTTTTATATTTGGCATTTTTCTCTTAATCTCTATGCAAGTTATTTACAGGTAGACAGGGCAGGCTATAAATCCAGTAAATAAGCAAAAGCTGCACAAGCAATCTCTTGTCCATTTTGTTTTGCTCAAGAGGAATAATAATGAACTGGTATGGAAATGAACTGATAATGAACTGGAAATTAGTTTAATATTTATTTTTATGCTTCCCACAAGAGGCAGAATAGACCGTCAGATTGCACACTTTTTCAGAAAACAATGTGTTTCTTTCCGGGTGATGTATAACTGAGTTAAGCTTTCAACATAGCCATTTTTAAAACAAAGGGCCCTAGATTGCCTGTTTCTGATTGAATATGATGGCTGGTGGCAATATCTGAGAAATAACCCTTAGTAAGAGATTAAATTGCTGAGCAAGATTCAACTGAGTGCTTAAACACACAAGAGTTTAAAGATAATTAAAAAAATAGAGGGGAAGGAAACTGTTATACTATGCAATGGTGAGAAACCTGTTAATGAAAATAATAGCTGCAAGCACTATTACACAGTTGTGGTCATGCAGCATATTAACCTTTCAGGAAAAGTATTGCATAAATACCAACACTGTATTATTATTTGCACTGGGCCAAATTTTTCACCTATTTTAAGTGGATAGGATGGAAACAACCTTCAAATATCAAAACGTTGTTTGGGATGTTCTATACACAAGTTGAGATCTCATGTTTGGGTTTGAGGCAAAGTTATTATTTAATATGGTCATTTCCAACCTGAGCATTCTTCAGATCTTTGGTTATCAAATTCTTTCTTTTCTTTCTTTTTGTAACAAGAATAACTAAATTCTTTGTTGTTTTCTGATCCGGAAAATAGGTCAGAAAACATTTTGGACAGCCTCTCTCTACTGCTATTGCATTTCATCCAATATTGAAGCTAATCTCAAAAGAAAACTTGGTTGCCTTTTTCTGGATCTGATCACAAACCTCTTCTATTCCAGAATGTTATTTTGACAGGGGAAAGATGGGCATTTAGAATGACAACTCCCAAATCAATCAAACCAAACACCTGTGCATAATATTGTCACTGTCTCAAACTCTCAGTATAAGATTAAGGCACTTCAAATGCTCCTACTCAAGCACCTGTTTGGCTTTGTGTAAACTGGTGTGACCCAAGCAAAATTAGTTTCTCTCCCAGCAGCTTACGGACATGTTGCCAGCTTACGCTGTAAATTCTTCTGGGCATGGATTCCCTTCAGAGCTAATAAATCCTTCACACTTGATATAATCAAATTAGCCAGATGTATACAAGATGGCTGTTTATAAGCCAAAGCCTCCTATTTTCTCAGCCTTTCTTTCTTCAATCCCTTACCCTCTGGAATTTGCAGACATGCTGCCAAATTATCTTTAGACTAATACACAACCTTAATTTGGCTGTTTCGCTGCTGGATGCCCTTCTCAACTTGGAAGCTTGCTTGTTCTCTTGGAATGTGGATGTTGTTGAACCAAAAATCAACAGCTGAATAGCAACACAGCGATTGTGTTTTTCCTAAGATATCTTTTCAAATCAGTTTTGGCTGCTTTTGATCCCTGGCAGCAGCTGTTTACTTAGATGAAACTACAACCTGCTTTTTTACACATTGCATAGCCCTGTGACTTTGAGCAGCTTTTCAGATTTCTGGGCAGAGCCTGTGAAAAGTTCAGTTAATGGGGTGAATAGGGATATTGAGGAGAAAGGCTTCAATCCATAAGGTTACATTTCCTCTCAATTTAATTGTACCCATGTGTTTAATGAACACTTGCACAGGACACTTAGGATCTTCTGATCTGGTTAGAAATAACAAATTTGAATAATTAGTCTATAGCTTTCAAGAACATGCCTTAGGTCCATGTTTTAACACAGTAACAGAGTTGGAAGGGACCTTGGAGATCTTCTAGTCCAACCCGATGCTCAGGCAGGACACCCTATACCATTTCAGACAAATGGTTGTCCAATTTCTTCTTAAAACCTCCAGTGTTGGGGCACCCACAACTTCTGGAGGCAAGTTGTTCCCCTGATTAATTGTTCTAACTGTCAGGGAATTCTTCCTTGGTTCTAGGTTTGCTTCTTTTCCTGATTAGTTGCCATCCATTGTTTCTTGTCCTGCCTTCAGGTGCTTTGCAGAATATTCCTCTTCTTTGTGGCAGCCCCTTACAGGCTGTCATGCTACCCCTAGTCCTTCTTTTCATTAAACTAGACATACCCAATTCCTGCAACCGTTCTTCATATATTTTAGCCTCCAGTCCTCTAATCATCTTTGTTGCTCTTCTCTGCACTCTTTTCTACAGTCTCAACATTTTTTTACATCATAGCAACCAAAACTGGGTGAAGTATTTCATGTCTTACCAAGGCACTATAAAGTGGTATTAACACTTCACATGATCTTGATTCTATCCCTCTGTAATGCAGCCTAGGACTGTGTTGGATTTGCCCTGTTCCTCTTCCATTCTTCCTTGTATAAGCACCCATGCTGAAAGTATGGCTTATTTAAACCACAGTTTTCATTATATGTGAATCAAGAGGTTTAGGATTAATTTCTGTTTATTAACCATGATATAATAGTAAGTTTGCTTATGTTCTTGACAGAGCTTAATCCTTCTTGTATAAGAAACACTGATATTAATAACCACAAGCACGAGCTTTGCAAGTGGACCCTTATCCACCGTGCTATTTCAACTATTTCCCTGTAGATTCTTTGCCTATGGAGAGTTACAATCCACAGAACCTCGTGATCCTATTTGCGTTATGTTGCTAACAAGGCAGACAACAGTGCAGAACTGACTTGGAGACACAAATACCACCTCCCTCACTTGAGAAACATTGATTCTCCAATTCTGCCCTCTTCCCACTTAATCCAAGTAATACTTACAAACAATGGACAATGGTCCTGCCATTGCCACTCTCTTCTTGCCACTTCTCTACTTGGGCTAATAAATTCAGGAAAGACTTTTTCGAGTCTGGAATATCTCTGTAGGCTGACCACCGCAGGTACTGAAAGTGCCGGACCATCAAGTGTCCTTCCTGTAACTAGAGAAGCCTTGTAATTAGTTCTCTTCTTGTCAAGTTTGCTAAAGCCAGAAGTCTTGAATCAGCTGTTTTCCAGGATGAAACATAACTTGGAATCTGATAGAGGCATCAGATGTCCATCTGCTTGCTTTTTATTCTAGGATAAAGATACACTAAGTCTGGGTTTCTCAACCTTGGCAACTTTAAGATGTGTGGATTTCAACTCACAGAATTCCCCAGTCAGCTGTTGGCTGGGGAATTCTGGGAGTTGAAGTCCATGTGTTAGTGCCAAGTTTGGGGAACCCTGCACTAAACCATTCACACCTCCCCAAATCTTTGGATTTAATCCCAGAAACTTTCTCAAATGACATTTTTTATCAAGGTGAAATAATAAGAGAATAATCTTATTAGCCAGATTTAGGTTCAATGTTAAGAAATTAAATCAATTTTTTTATCTCTATTGTATTCAGTTTTTTTTTTTAAGCAGTCACCCTAAGAATGACATTCAAAAACTCTCTGGAGCTTGATTGCCCATACTCTTGCTTAGTGTTTCCCAGAGATGCATGGACCTCAACTCCCAGAATTCTTAGAAATGATCAAGCTAGTTACAGAATTCTGGGAAGGGTTTATGATCAGGAAATATTGTTCTAGGGGCATAGGAATAGGCAAGAGTCCCGAATTTCAATCAGTTGCATTGAACTAGGCAAACAATACTTTACTTCAAAATGAGGTAAATCTACTCAGCTGAACTTCTGCCCTAAAATTCTACCCCTTCATTAAGTTAAGATGAGGTTGCCTCATCTTTACAATATGACTCATTGTTGGGCCTCAATCCAGTAGTTGCTAACAACTGGCTTACATTGTTTTGTAGCAGGGAGTCTGTGATTCATGAAAATAGGGAATAACCTACTTAGTACAACATGAATCACAGGCAATTCTACTCAGGAGCTCAAATAATGCTGCTCAAAATGTTTCAACTCTTTAGCTGGGGAAAAAATAATAATCTTAGATCTGATACATACATAACCAACCAAGTATACAAGCATATCAAGATTCCTTGTGTTTCAGCAAGATGCTACATGCTGATAAGATTTAAAAAATAATAATAAAGAGACAGAGAAAATTAAAGCCACTAATGCAGTCATTCCAAAATGAATTTTAGAGCATCAGCTGTAAATCAGCTGAGAGGCACAGGATATTTCATGGGGCATAGTAGAAGAATGAAATGACCTGCTCTTATTTGGTTCTGAGTTACTGATTCTTTGGATTTGTTCCTAAATTCAGGATATTCCTCGACTTACAATCACAATTGAATCCAAAATTTATGTTGGTAAGTGAGACATTTGTTAAGTGAATTCTGCCCCATTTTATGACCTTTCTTGCCAAGTGAATCACTGCAGTTCTTAAAATTAGTAACACAGTTGTTAAGTGAATCTGGCTTCCCCATTGACTTTGCTTGTCAGATGGTCACAAAAAAGGTGAACATATGAGTCAGTTGGCAACCATCAGAATTTTGATCACATGACCAGGGGAATGTTGCAACGGTCATAAATATGAAAAAGGTCATAACTTACATTTTTCAGTACTGTTGTAACTTTGAACGGTCACTAAATAACTGCTGTAAGTTGAGGATTACCTGTATTAGCTCCACCTTGTACACAGACACACACATAGTCCCATCTGTAGGTACAGATAGTCCTTGACTTGTTTAGCGACCATTCAAAATGACAAAGGCACTGAAAAAAATGACTTATGACCAGGACACACACTTATGACTGTTGCAGCATCCCCATGGTCACATCATCAAAAGTCAGGCACTTGGCAACCTGCATGTACTTAACATGTGATCACCATTTGTGACTTTCCCAGCTGGCCTCCAGCAAGCAAAATCAATAACGGAAGCCAGATTTGCTTAACAACCAGGTGATTTATTTAACAACTGCAGCAATTTGCTTAATAACTGTGACAAAAAAGTTGTAATATCAGGCATGACTCATTTAACAACCCCCTGCTTAGCAATGGAGTTCCTGGTCCCTGTTGTAATTTAAGGACTGCCTGTATTAGAGCTACATTGGTTTCAAAAATGATTTGGAAGAGGTGCTTGCTGGTGCATGAAAGCCAGAAAAGCAGAACCTTTTTAGAGCAGGAGTCCCCAACACAGGGCCACACAAACAAGAAAAGCCCCATCCGTGAGATGCAGGCAGCACACAAAACCATGCCCCCTCCAGTCTGCAGAAAAACCTCTCTCCACGTAACCAGTCCCTGGTGCCCAGAAGTTTGGGGACCTCTGTTTAGAGCACTGCTGTGCTTGCACTCCCAAAAATTCCAGAGCACCTCTTGCAAATAAGTTGTGAAGTATGCATGACCCTACTATATTTGCAGCCAGACAGCTAGCTTGCTATCTTCTGGCAGTCAATGACTGTTGCCTGTTTGCATTCATTTGGTGTTCACTGCATAGTAGTAGTAGTAATAATAATAATAATAGTAGTAGTAGTAGTAGTAGTAGTAGTAGTAGTAGTAGTAGTAGTAGTAATAACCTGAGCAAAAAGGAAACCGCCCCAATAGCAGAGGAACAAAAGATCAACTCCTAATAGACAAAATGATCTTGGAAAACTGCAAGAAAAGGAAGACCAACCTGAATATGGCATGGATTGACTACAAAAAGGCATTTGACTCTCTGCCACATGACTGGATAATCAAGTGCCTAGAAATAACAGGAATCAGTAGAAACATCAGAAAATTTGTGCAAAGATCGATGACACAATGGAAGACACAGTTGCAGATCAATGGTGAGAGACTGGGAGAGGTTAATATCAAGAGAGGAATATTTCAAGGAGATTCATTATCACCATTACTATTTGTTATTGCACTGTTTCCTCTGTCAACAATACTGAATAACTCAGGACATGGCTATCAAACATCAAAAACATCTACCTGACTATCCCATCTCCTTTACATGGATGATCTGAAGCTGTATGGAAAAACATTATCTGAAATAGAATCGCTGCTCAACACTGTTCGTATATATAGCCAAGATATTGTAATGGAGTTTGGCTTGGACAAATGTGCCACACTTACTATCAAACAAGGAAAAATAGTGAAAACTGAAGGAATCAAGATGCCCCACGAAAATAACATTAAGAGCCTGGATGAGGAAGATTACTACAAATACTTGGGTATCCTTCAAGCTGACAACATCAAGCACACTGAAGTAAAAAATAAAAAAAAAAGATTAGAGGCGAATACATCAAGAGAGTGAAGAAGATCTTAAAGTCCAAACTCAATGGAGGAAATACCATTAAGGCAATCAACACCTGGGCAATTCCAGTCATTAGGTACACAGCTGGAATAGTTGACTGGACTCAAGCAGAACTAAAAGCAATGGATAGGAAGACCAGAAAAATAATGACAATGAATCATGCCCTTCATCCACGCAGTGACATTGACAGACTTTATCTACCAAGGCAAATAGGTGGGCGTGGAATGCTACAAGTACATCAGATGGTTGAAGAAGAAAAAGTGGCTTTGGAAGAATATCTAAAGAACAATAATGAAGATGCACTGAAATTAGTATATCAGGAAGGCTTACTGACTACTGGAGAGACCAAACAGGCCTACAAGAAAGACCAAATGAAGAACAGAATAGAGGCATGGGAAGACAAAGCACTACATGGCCAATATGTTAAAAAAATAGCTGGGAAAGCAGATAATAACAAGACCTGGCAATGGCTAAGAGCAGGAAAATTGAAGAAAGAGACCGAGGGACTAATTAGTAATAGTAATAGTAGTAAAGTTGGAAGGGACCTTGGAGGTCATTAGTCCAACCCCCTGCTCAGGCAGGAAACCCTACACCATTTCGGACAAATGGCTGTCCAGTCTCTTCTTTAAAAACTTCCAGTGTTGGAGCATTTACTGCTTCTGGAGGCAGGCTGTTCCACTGATTAATTGTTCTCACTGTCAGGAAGTTTCTCCTTAGTTCTAGGTTGCTTCTCTCCTTGATTAGTTTCCACCTGTCGCTTCTTGTTCCTGCCTTCAGGTGCTTTGGAAAATAGCTTAATTCCCTCTTCTTTATGACAGCCCCTGAGATATTGGAATACTGCTATCATGTCCTGGCTGCACAAGACCAAGCCTTAAGGACAAATGCATATAAAGTCAAAATTGAGAAGACAGCAACAGACAGTAAGTGCTGCCTATGCAAAGAAGCTAAAGAAACAGTGGACCACTTGGTAAGCTGTTGCCAGAAGATTGCGCAAACTGACTACAAGCAGCAGCATGACAAAGTAGCAACAATCGTGCATTGGAAGATCTGCAAAAAATATCATTTGCCTGTAAGCAAAAACTGGTGGGATCATAAAATAGAGAAAGTCACAGAAAATGATAAAATTAAACTGCTCTGGGACTTCAGAATTCAAACAGCCAAGCACCTACAACATAACACCCCAGACTTAACAATTGTCGATAAGAAAGACAGAAAAGTCTGGATAGTGGACGTGGCAGTGCCTAGAGACAGCAGAATAGACGAGAAAGAACTGGAGAAGATAACAAAATACAAAGACCTACAAATAGAAATAGAAAGACTGTGGCAAAAGCAAGCAAGGGTAGTACCAATAGTCATAGGCGCCTTGGCTACAATCCCAAAACAACTGGAGCACCACTTGAACACCATTGGCATTGACAAATTCGCTATTAGTCAATTGCAAAAGGCGGCCTTACTAGGAACTGCTTCCATTCTGCGATGATATCTGTAATACCATCAAACATTTATTTATTTATTTATGAGACTTATATACCGCTTTAAGTGCAAGCACTCTCTAAGCAGTGTACACCAGTAAGCAATGTATATATATATATATTTACATTGCCCCCAACAATCTGGGTCCTCATTTTACCTACCCCGGAAGGATGGAAGGCTGAGTCAACCTTCAGCCGGTGAGATTTGAACTGGTGACCTGCTGAACACAAGTCAGCTAAAGTGGCCTGCAGTACTGCACTCTAACTGCTGCGCCACCTCGGCTCAACATCCACATCTGCCTATCCCAGGTCCTGGGTAAGGACTCAATAGGTAGACAAAATGCCAAATCCAGTCTGAACATTTGGCTGACTGTGCGATGATCAATAATAATAATAACAACAACAATAATAATAAAAAATGGAGAGATTGAAAGGGAAAGGGAAGGGAAGCAGGGATAAGGAAATGAGGCCCTGTAATACTTTCATAATATAGGTAGATTTGCAATATAATATAGTTAGTATGGAATGGATTGAGGGGGGATTTCCCGCCCATAGCTAAGCAAGCCTAGAATGTAACAGCACTAGTTAGAAAGCTCAGTACAAAATCAGTGGAAATGATGAAAATCCTATGAGGCTCAAAACAGGTTTTCAGAATGTCTTATTAATGCCTCTTATTAATGCCTCTGTAATGAATTGGGGCAGGAGAGACACCATAATGAAAAAGGGACAATTAGCTACCAGTTTCTGAGCAACCTGCAGTGAGATTTCCATCTATGTTTCCCTCTCTATAATTGTTCAATGTAGTCTTTCTGAATCAGGGGCTTTCTGGACCACAGTTCCTATAATCCCCATAAATAAAAGTGGGATATAGATAGACAGACAGATAGACAGACAGATAGACAGATAGATAGACAGATATTATGTTCTTGTTTCTTCTATCCTTTGCCTCTCCATTGGAGAAGCTGAATGTCCTCAATGCTCCCAATCTCTCAGTGATTGCAAACTGGTTTTGGTGAGATTCATGGGGAGGTGGTGGGGGAATGCATTAATCCTTCATTAACAGTAGCTTGCAATAATCTCCAAGTCCAATTTGAAATCCCCTTTTGCTTTTTCTCCCCTGAACAGCAGCTGGGTTTCGTATAGAAACTTGGTTACCTCACCTCTCAGCCCCACCTCCAAATCTTTTATAAACAAAATGGACTATTTCTTCCAGCATGACTGGACTACATTGATTATTCCATTTTATTCTGAAATCAAATTTGGCGTGCTTTCCTGCTGTCCCATTACAGAATTACAAGTGAAGAAGCTTTAAACTGCAAATCAGGAAACCGCCATGCTGGTGGAAAGAGAAAAGAATGGTCCCATATGACTACAATACAAACCTCTTTCCCTTTTCCATTCTTTCAGATCAAGTTTTTCTTTTGAAAGCAAGCAAGCAAGCATTAATTTAATTTAAAAAAAACCAGTGCAGAAGTTTAGAGCAAACTCACTCGTGTTATGTTCTGCACCCGGAAAAGACGGGCTACAACTTCTTCATCACTTGACCGAGATATGTATTCCACCTGCATTGGTCCATATTGCTGAAGGCCTGGTTCTGGCCAATATTGTAAACAAGGCTAAAAAGAAAGGAACAAACCGTGGCATGAATACCTGGCACTGTAGAGGTAGATTTACTCACCTAATAAGCCATAATGTGGTGCATTATGATTTGGAGTTAATATATTGTGCAAACTCAACCAGGGAGAGAAAAGGTAGAGGGGTGAATTCAAAGTTTTTAATGTCGAAGAAAAGAGTGGGTGCATGCTTCAGTGGGTTAAACTTGCCGTTCTCTAAATAAATAAGCCTCATCTGTTTTTTTTAATTCTCTCTCACACATGGAAGCAATTCAATGTTGTTATCAGCATCCCATTCAATCAAGGTTTGTTTTTAGCCAATTCCACCTAGGATACATCAGAACAAGGTTTAATATTGCTTGGCATTAAAGTGGCAGGAAACGATGACTGATAGGAAGGACTCTTGATATTCATTCATCTGGCAGCCTAACTGATGCATTGTCTACTTGGGGCATTATGAATGAGATTGTTTTCAGGCCAGGTTCAGCTGTAAATCTTATCCCTCTGAACATATAAACCCTTTATTCAGGAATAGGGATGACCTGAGCAAGAGAAAATTGGTCCACTGCAGTAGACAGAAGTCACAGTTATTGTAAAAGTCCTTGTTCCCGGGTTCTAATTCAAGGCTTTTCCCTTCCGTTTTTTTAAGTCAAAGGATGTTTGCTTCTTCTCCTGATCATTCTGAGAGGCATTGATCTACATGGACAGAATGATTCTCTCTCTAGCATGAAAACTGCTACTCCTGCCTCATTAATTTCATTCCCTACAGCAGGGGTCTCCAAACTTGGCCCTTTTATGACTTGTGGACTTCAACTCCCAGAATTCCTCAGCCAGCATGCCTGGCTGAGGAATTCTGGGAGTTGAAATCCACAAGTCATAAAAGGACCAAGTTTGAAGACCCCTGCCCCACAGCAACCACCAGGATGGAAATATCAACACAAAAAACATGGTGTTTGTCACTGCACTTTAACACAACATTTAGCTTTTTCAGGCCATCCAACAGTTCATGTCTCATTTGGGTAGCACATGTATTTAAAGAATACAGGTAGTCCTAGACTTACAACAATTCATTTAGTGACTGTTCAAAGTTACAATGGCACTGAAAAAAGTGATTTATGACTGTTTTTCACACTGACAACAATTGCAGCATTCCCGTGGTCACAAGATCAAAATTCAGATGCTTGGCAACTGGCTCATATTTATGATGGTTGCAGTGTCCCGGGGTCATGTGATCACCTTTTGCTACCTTCTGACAAGCAAAGTCAATGGGAAAGCCAGACTCACTTAACTATCATGTAACTGCAGTGATTCACTTAACAACAGTGGCAAGAAAGCTCATAAAATGGAGCAAAATTCACTTAACAATGTCTCACTTAGCAACAGAAATGATGGTGTCCAAACTCGGAGCCATCATTTGGCTATTGCAACTTCCTCCCATAAGACATGGTTCAACTGAGAGATATTTCCTCCAAATTGCCTTCCCAAAGTCGTTTGCAGATCTACTGACTGGAGTAAATGTTTAAAATGAGGCTGAAACAGCACTAGGCACATATCCCTAAAGAGGCAGATGTCTAATGCAAGGAACAGAATAAGATAACAGAGAAACAAAAGCAGATTTATACTGAACACATAAGGGGAAGCATAGGGATTTGATAACATTCGTCTGTTTAAATTAGATCCATTTTCTGAATCTGAATCATAAACTCATCCAAAAGGCTGAACTCACACAATATATTAAGCTGCAAAAATGCACACTAAAGTTAAAAATAACCAAACTTCACATTCTGTACAGACATAGGCTGAAAATTTTTAATTGAGTTGGTTAAATGTGCTGCACAACTCTGATTACAAAGACCAGAGAAGAACAAAAGCTTCTTATGTAGGGTGAAAATAGTTCTGCCTCTCTTCTCCTTTCCAGTTAAGCTCCCTCAATTCTTTGTTTGCCCTCTTGAAACAGAGTTCATTGCTTGGATTTGCCTGTGTCAATTGCTTCCAGAGTTAATTTCACTTCTGAATAAACTCCTTTTGGCCCTTCAGTTTTACTAGACCTCCTGATATGGTAGCACTGAGAATAATGTTTATTTTCCTCTTCTGTTTATTAAGCACACAGTGGTCCTCTTTAACTCAGCAAGCAAGACTGACAAAAGAGCGCTCATCTTCACATTCAAAAAGGGGAGGTCCTTTAATTCATTGGGTCATTGGCCCTGGAAGTGTCTGATCTTGACTCATAAAATTATCCATTTAATGAAGGTGTCCATTAAGAGTCTACAGTATTAATGTTATGCTTTTCAAAACAAAAAAAGAAAAATCAAGCAAATTAATATTATGGACTTGTAATGGGTTCTTAAAACTGCCATGAACCCAGCAAGAGTGTTTTGAATGTCTAGGGAGGGAGACTCAACCTTCCCAAATGCTCCATAGTTTGAAGATCTAAATACAAAAACTATAGATTCCCAAAATTAAATCCATAGGATTTTTATGTCTATGGCTTTGCTTGGAGCTCTTAAGCATCAACTCCCAGAATTCTTCAGAAGATATAGGCACTGAGTTGATGTTCAAAGGCTTCAGGATGACAAAGGCAGGCATAAACATAGAATGGATTTAGATTTGGGGGATTTATAGATTATGCACCAGGTTGGAGAAGATTGCATTATGCCATCTAATGTCACTTAAAAGCATTCACACATTTCTGGCAGCAGTCCTTCCACCCACTGATTGAATTGAAGACCAACCAGAAAGGTCTTCTCTGGTCATTTAGTTGCCAGCTTCCAACTCAGTCTGCTGTGCAAATCCGATCATCTGTGATTTATTCAGCAAACCATAATGATCAGAGAAGCAGGTCACTGAGGCCTCTTCAAATGACTTACAATGGCCAAATGCCCTTTAGCTGTGCTCCTACAAAACTCTCTCAACAGTAGCCATGGCTGACTGCTTTGCTCACTTCCCTCTTTTCTTTTAAAACAATAAATCTAGACTGACTGGCTGTGACTGTGATTACTCTGTGGGTAACTTGGGTCCTAGAAGAGTTGATGACAGATGGCAAGTTTTGCGAAAGGTAAAATGATATAAAGCTGGGTGGAAAGTCCAGGACTTACTACCTCAACAGGTTTAAGTTGGAGAACACTCTTATTTGATATTCCTATCCCACTTATCATTTAACTACTTCATCCATCTTTTCTCTTTGCTCAGGCAGGGCAAAGAACTCAGAGTATGTGCTCAGTGGGCATATTATTTAGATTTCTATCCTATCCTTTCTCCAGGAGCTCAAATTGGTGTATGTAGATTTGTTTTCAGTAGTTTCATATAGTAATGGCCCTGCGGGATAAATTCAGTAGTGGGATTCAGCCGGTTCGCATCACTTTGGCAGAACTGGCAGCTAATTTTTTGTTGCTCAGGCCCAGAATGGACTTCCGGAAGCAGCATCCACACAGAGAACCAGTTGCTCACCTATTTGAATCCCACCACTGGATAGATTTAATTCATGATTCCAAATTATCAGCAAAGTAAAGTTCTATGCCTGAAGGGGGACCTTGAATATGGGTCTCACTGTTCCTAGTCTATGGTAGGCAACCTTGGCTCTTTTATGACTCGTGGACTTCAACTCCCAGAATGCTGACTCAGGAATTCTGGGAATTGAAGTCCATGAGTCATAAAAGAGCTAAGGTTGCTTACCCCTGTCCTAGTGCAATGCTTCAAGCATTAGAGATCTGGAACAAAACTACTAGTGCAAAAATAAATAAATAGAGGTAATCAAGTGACAAGTGGGTCTCTCTCACTTACCCAGGCAGAATTGGACTGGTTGAGCTGGTTGAGCATAATGATGGAGGTGCAGCCATAGTCATATACCAACCGCCAGAAATCTGTTGTAGTGTTCTGTAGAGGGTGCAAGGTTACAATGAAAGCAGCACTGTTGGTGTAGCTCTAGGAGAAGAACAAAAGAGATTGGTAAAAGCATGTAGGAAACATAAACTGAAACAACTCTTCAGTGGGCACTGCAGTGTTTCTCAGACTCTGCTACTTATGTTAAGTCTGCTCATCAATCACAATTGCAACTTAGTTGGTTAAAAGCACTGAACAAAAGGAGCTTTAAATGACTGAGATGAAGGAGGGAGTAAATGTTTAGATCGGGATTTCCAACCTTGGCAACTTTAAGACCTGAGGACTACAGAATTTCTTAGCCAGCTGAAGTCCACACAAGATACATGTAGTGTATCTTTATCCTAGAATAAAAATTGAGAAGATGGATGTCATTCAGATCAGGGGTATCCAACCTTAATAACTTTAAGACTTGTGGACTTCAGGTCCAAGAATTCCCCAGCCAGCTATGATGATGGCCACAGGAGAGGAAGTAGGCCTTTCAAGACTATGAACTGGTCTGCTGCTTCTTTAACCTAATAATTAATCCAGGCCTTCTGGGAAATATCCACATACAGTCCTAAAATTGGGATTGCCCTAATAAAGTAATTAAGCCAGGAAAATAATTAAAGCTGATTTGATCAAATTAAAATTAAGTACAGCTTATATGACTTCATCACACATTTAATAATTGTTTACCTTAATAGCATTAAAAATAGTGTTTTGTACACAGCTTGTAAAGATACTCAGGCCATTTATTCCTAGATCTAGATTCACAATAATGTTCCCTTAAAATATGTGTGAATGGAATAGTTGCCTCTCTGTTCAAATACTTTTTGAAAACACTGTTTTTAAAAGAACAAGGGTAGAAGAAATAAAGTTTTAATGTAGACTCTGAAGGATGGCCTTCCCTCACTGAGCCAGCATAAGTCAAATCCTGATCCAATCATTTCATATTGTGGTGGTAAAAGTAAAGACCTAGGAAAAAAATATGTAGGTGAAGCTTTTCACCCTTGACAATTCATTTTCCTTTGGAGCATTGCATGGTGACAAGCTTTCAAAGTGATTGTTCTCCTTCCTAGCAAACTGGCATTTCCTTGGCTAATTGAAAGAGGCTGTTGATTATTTTAGGTAATATAGCTTTCTTTGGCCCTATTCTTTCCTGGAAGCTAGCATACCATTTGTACACATGACACATTGGCACAAAATAATGCAACTCAGTCATATTGTCTAGACAGAAGAATGCCATCAAAATGAGTGCAATCTACAGGAGTTTCGGTGGAGGTGATGATGTAATCAGAATTTTCTAACCCAAGAGGAAGCAAAAGGAAAGCATAGAAATGGCTTTGTAAATACTAAATAGCATTACTGACACTTGACTATATGAGACAGTATTCTGAATTAATATAAAGCTGCTTCCTACGCTCCTCTACATGCCAAATTGTAAGGGCCAGCAGCTCCAACAGCAACAGGTCCTGGAACTGTAATTCTACAATATCTAGAGCAGGGATGTCCAACCTAGGCAACTTTAAGACTTGTGCACTTCAACTCCCAGAATTCCTCAGCAAGCATGGCTGGCTGGGGTATTCTGGGAATTAGGATCCACAAGTCTTAAAGTTACCTAGGTTGGACAGCTCTGATCTACAGCAATGTTTCTCAAGCTTGGCAACAGTAAGATATATGGAGATGTATGTATTGAGATGTGTGAGGTTAAAAGAGGCACAGTTTGTCCGATGTACTAAATTAAAGAGAGGTACAAGGGCTGGCATCAAGGCTCAGAGACATACAAAATTAACCAGGTAACAAACCAAAAGACAAAGATTGAATCTGCCAAATATCAAATCATCATATGCCCATACAGAAGACACAACAAAGTATTAATTTGATTGGAGACTATCAAATTCTATCAATTGGTGAGGGTCAGAGAGGTACTGATCAATGGTCAATTTCATTTCAATTTAAAAAAAATTGAAATTATCTAGCTGGCTGGCAGCACTTAATCAACTGTAGCTAAACTGAGAAACTGTGAGCTTGAGAAGATCAGCCTAAATTGGCTAACAAGGGCAACTAAATTACTAGTACAGTTGACTTTTTTCTCCTGATAGATGTTTTATAGTGATTTTCTAAAACCTTATTTAAAGCTTTGAGCTTTTTATATATTTGTTCCTAAAGCTTTGTCTCCCAAACCTTTTCTAACTTCTGTCAAACCTTTCTTGGGATTCTGTTCTCCTAGCATCCAATTTTGAACCTAACTTTGCAGTTTAAAGTTGGTGTAAGACAGAGGTCTTCAAACTTGGGACCTTTAAGACTTATGGACTTCAACTCCCAGAATTCCTCAGCCAGCCACAGCTGGCTGAGGAATTCTGGGAATTGAAGTCCATAAGTCTTAAAGTTGCCAGGTTTGAAGACCACTGGTGTAGGAAATGTAAATGGGGTTGGCCAATGACTTTCCCACCAATTCCCTGCCATCTAAGAGATAAACTTACATCAGTTAAGGCCGCATTGATGTAATTGTTGCTGTCTCCATCCATGGAGATCAAAAAAGGGAGGCACCGGTCCGGAGGCAGCACATCCATACTCCGATTTTTTTCCCGATTGCGTGGTAGAAGGGCAATGCTGCACTCCTCCACATCCAGGTGGGGTGTTACAGAATTCAGAGTCTGCTGGACACGAAGAAACCAGATTAGGCAGCATTTTATAATCTTATTGGCAGATGAAATTTAGCACTACAGCTATCCATTTAGATCAGTGGTTCTCAACCTTTTTAATGCCGCGACCCCCAACCAGTCATAAGTCGAGGACTACTCAACTGGCTGTAAGTTGAGGACTACTCAACTGGTGCAGCACCATTTGCAGAATGGGACTTTTGGTGAGCTCAGCAGGGCAGAGACAGCCTGGACAATTCCTATTGGCTTTTGAAAGCCAATAGAATTAGACTCTATTCAAGAGAGTCTATTCTATTGGCTTTCAAAAGCCAATAGAATAAAAGGGAGTAGCACAGCTAAGGAAAAGGGGAAAAAAATGGCGGACTGTGTTGTTTGGCGACCTCCGTGAAATGGTCATTCGACCCCAAATGGGGTCCCGACCCACAGGTTGAGAACCACTGACTTAGATTAAGGTGTTGCATAGAAACTGGGAGACTGTGAATTCTAATCCCACTTTAGGTATGAAAACTGGCTAGGTGGCTTTGGACAAATCATCAGGAGAATGTGAGTTCTAGTCCTGCCTTACCCACGGAAGCCAGCTGGGTGACATTGAATCAATCACCAAAAGACTCTGAGTTCCAGTCTTGCCTTAGGCATGAAAGCTGGCTAGGGCCCTTCGGGCTAGTCACTCGCTGCCAAACCCAGTTCACAGGTTTTTTGTTGTGTCAAAAATAGGAGGCGGAAGGTGTGTTGGATATGTTTGCCATCTTGAGTTATTTGTAAAAATAATAAAAGCAGGATATAAATAAATAAAATGTTTGCTGCTTTGAGTTACTTACAAAGTAATGAAGACAGGTTAAAAATCCAAATAAATACACTCTCTATTTTAAAATAAGGAAATTATTCAAAATTCTTTGTGCTCCAGGAAAGGCTGTAATTCAAAACAGATGGATGTGTCTTTCAGGGTTGAAAATAGGAACAGGCCTGCTGTATCAAGTCAAGGCCCAGCTAAGCCCAGCATCTGGTTTCTCATCATGGTCAGCTGATCAGGGCTCTCCAACCTTAGCCACTTTATGACTTGTGAACTTCAACTCCCAGAATTCCTCAGCCACAAGTCATAAAGTGGCCAAAGTTGGAGAGCCCTGAACTAGATGCTTCTGGAGGATATACAAGTAGATGATGCAGACATATCCTTCTCTCATTGTTATTTCCCCATAACTCTTCTCTCATTATTTCTATGTAACTGGTATTTGGAATTATGCTAATGGGAACACACCAGCACGGTCAAGAGCCCTGAACTAGATGCTTCTGGAGGATATACAAGTAGATGATACAGAGATATCCTTCTCTCACTGTTATTTCCCCATAATTCTTCTCTCATTATTTCTGTGTAACTGGTATTTGGAATTATGCCTAATGGGAACCCACGAGCATAGTCAAGAGCCCTGGTTTCAAGAAAACCTCCAGTTTTCAATCACTCACCTGAAATTCCTCCCGTAACTGAGATGAGTTGCTCTGTGGATCTATTCTAACCATCTCTTTGTATGTAGGTCTGAACTCACTGATGGGAATGCTGGTCTCTCCACAAAGACAAGCTTCCAATATGGCATCATGGATGAAGACATATTGCTCCTTTAGAAGGAATGAAGGAAATGAAGACTTGTTAAGAACATCTGAACTGCATCATTCACATGTCACATTTAATTAATTGGTTGCAATGCTCTTGTACTGCACAGTAAAACTGCTCCTGAAATAATATGGAATCCAGCTGTTCTGATTGTGCCACAAAGGATACATACCAATCACAAAGGAGGCTTTCAAACTTGCTCCCAAAGTGATTTTTTTTCCCAAAAGGCAACTGGACTTTCTTTCTCAAGAAAGCCTAGTTGCTTTGTGGAAAAAGCATCTTTGGAATAACCTTAACCTGGATGACTGAGAATCTTCACAGACTACCTGGAACAATGCACTTTACTCTGTCCCATCCCAATAAAACTCACTTCAGTCTGAATCATGTTGATTCTCCGTGAGCAGAGAGTCTTCACACAATTGTAAACGTCTACAACTCCTTCACACTCAGCCATATCCAGCATTACATCCAGGACTATGTAGCAACCTGTCCGTCCAGTACCAGCACTGTGGAGGTTTGCGGAAGCACAAGAAAAGAAGAAATGGTTAGAACTGGGTATTAAATGTGGAAATGTCTCTATATTTGCTTCATGAATTCTTTTGAATACATACATTTTTGATTTCCAGATATAAACGTTTTAATCTTTGGAAATTTAATACATTCCAAAAGTTGGAATATATTTCAAATTCATTAAAAGGCTTATGCACTAGAGTTAGATTTAAGGCTAGGTCAATAGAAGCATCTATTTTGAAAATATTATAGTCTAATATGGTAGAGCAGGTGTGTCCAGTCCTGGCAATGTGAAGACTTGTGGACTTCAACTGGCTGGGGAATTCTGGGAGCTGAAGTCTGCAACTTAAAGGTTGCCAAGGTTGGACACACTGTGGTAGAGAATTTCCAATCAAGGGTGGAGTGAAGAGTGAAGATATGCCAAGGTTTATGTCAGAAGGTTCTATTTTTCATTTTAAAACACAATTCTCTCTTCAGTGATTTGCCGTCTTCCTGGTTGTTCTTACGTCCATTGAATCTCCGAGGGATCCTCTTACAGAATTCCACCCATTAGACTTTTTCACTAGTGGTATTTCTTGGGAATCCTGGGATAAAGTAATTCTTGGAGACAGAGGAGTCTGGAATGAGCCCATGAATTCAACAGCACAGCAAAACATGTATCATTACATCATGGTATAAACTCTGCCCCTTTTGTAGTAGTAATATGCACTGTAGTTGAAATGCTCAAGTGAAAAAGAGGGAATTTGCATCCCTTTTGTGATACAACAAATATTTCATCATTGGCCTCTTGTTGTTCTCTATATATTCTACATATATTTCCTGGAGCAAATTCAGAGAAATCTCCATCCTCAGAGACTTAATGCAGAATTTCATCATTAGTATGAGTATGAAGATTCAACTTTAGGTTTTCCTATTATAAAGGACAAAGGCTGAAGATAGCTGGCTGCAGAGAAAGAGGTTGGCACCCCTTATGTGATAGTCTCCTCCCAATAACCCTCCAGACAAGGGGTACCCTTGCAGAAATGTCCTCAAGCTACAGAAATACCTTAATCCATGATTCTACAATATATTTCTTTCTCCATACACAGCAAACAGAAGTTTTCTCCCTGCATAGAACAGCCCCAGGCTAAAACAGATCTTTCATATTTATGTACAAAACATAAATTAGAGATTTTTTTAAAAAAAGAATCTGCCACAATGTTACTAAGAACACCCTTGGTCCTTCTCTTAAAGGAAACTTGCCTGTAGCATATGGTGACCCCCGTTTCTCTGATTAGAAGCCCCACCCCTCAAACTCATTAGCAAAAGTCCAACTGCAGCACAATGGAGCCGTTTCTCCATCTTTCCAGTGTTGCTTTAAAACCCTCTAATATACTAATTTCTGGGGCTGATGAATCACTTGCTGTGATTCTCGGTGATTGCATGCTGAGGAAACTAATTATTCTCCTTGTCCCTGAAGAATGAATACTGATGAAGCAATTGGAGGCCAAAATAAAAAGTGTCTGTGTTTCATAGTGGGGGGAAATTCTCCTGCTTTCATTCATCACTTCGTTCTTGTTATCTGGCCCAGAAAGCACCATATAGCCAAATCGTACACAGAATGCCTCCAAAGCTCAGAAGAACATTTAGCAAGGAGAGATTCCACACTGTGCATACAGTAGGAAGCTTAAGACTGCTCTGCCAGCAAATTTTGAAAAGCAAATGTGATAGTGTCCCCTACCATCTCTTGGCCCTAACATTATGGGGCAAGTTAGGCCACCCACCCACACTGATGGGTGGTTAATTATAAGATTAAAAAAGACAGGTAAAGAGAGCCAGTTTGGTCTAGTGGTTAAGGCACCAGGCCAGAAACCAGGAGACTGTGAGTTCTAGTTTGGCCTTAGCCTAGAAAGCCAGCTGAGTGACTTTGGGCAGTCCCTCTCTTTCTCAATCCAACTCATCTCACAGGGTTGCTATTGTAGGGAAAATGGGAAGAGGAAGGTGTGTTGGATATGTTTGCTGCCTTGAGTTTTTTGTAAAAATAATAAAAGTGGGATAGAAATAAATAAATAAGCCAATGCTTTGAAGCGTGCATTCAGTCATAAAATATTTCTGTAATAATAATAAATTAAAAGCACAACAGAAATTCCTTCCTGCTCTGCCCATATCCGAACACACATATCTGTTGGTGAGCTAACAGCTGAGAATGTTCCAAAAGGCAACTGGATAGTCTTGGGTTGTTGTTTTTTTTTTCCTTTCAAAATATTTCGCTTCTCATTCAAGAGAAGCTTCTTGGATGAGAAGCGAAACACTTTCAAGGGGGAAAAAAAAAAACCCAAGATAGTTCAGCTGCCTTTTGGAAAAGCACATTTGGGACAACCAGGTCCTGGATGATTGAGAACCTCCCTAAACAATCGAGATTGTTTATACATTGAAGGAAGTACACGTTAGCTGAAATTCACCATATTCTGGGTTGCAGGTAGAGATATCCATGGATGGAGAGGGAATTTTGGGTGGGTGAAGATGGTGATATAAAAAGAGGGCATGGTCTCAAAGATATAGCTGTGGTCTCCATCTTTTGATTCCCACTGCACGCATTCCTAGTTGCACATTTTCACATATCCAATTCCACATTTTGGGTTGGAGTTTAAAATAATACTACAGTCATGTTGAAATATTACCCTGCCTTTTTTCCCTACTAATTCTTATTCTCATTTGATTAGGATGTGCTTTTTCTTTGACATTTAATTCAAAGGAGAAGCACATTTCTGAGAATGTACTGCAGATGTAACTGTTTTTTTTTTTAAAAAAAGCTTTTATTTTAATTCTGCCACTGTCAACAAAATATGGCACATTTTAAAAACCAGAAAGTGAAGTACACAAAAGCGATACAGAAATAAATTCCTGTGTATTTTGGGTGGATGGAGAAAGACATTTGTAATCTCAAATAGTGATTCAAAATGTTCCTATAAAAATAATTGCACAGATGGAGGCAACTGGGAATACTTTGCTGGTGCAACTTAAAAACTGGGGATCAAATGTAAATAAAACAATTTTGAGTTAATGGATTGTTGCTTTGATTTTGACTTAATGGATTGCTGCTTGTGTCTTCTTTTTTTTTTAACCAAATCCTATTTTCTATACTTTTAAGGATCACTGATCTAAGGAAAACTGTACTTTAATTTTCCAGTGTTTTGCTACTGTAAATCTGTTAGCTGATTAATTTCTTGTATTGAACCATATTATATGTTCTGAGGAAAAAGGACTATAACATTATACTACTGTACTGGGTTTTTTTTTGCTCTCCCCTAGCCCACCTCCCCAAAAACTTTATATTAAAATCCGTAAGTAATTGGACAATGCCATTGCAGATGTTCCAGCTAGATTAAAACATCTCTAACACAATTTAGAAAGACTATGGTTAATAGATTACAATTCTGTGGGGGGATAGAACTATCTATCAATTATTTTCATCATGTATTCTTGATGACTTGTCAAAATACATTTAAAATAATTTGGTAAAGAGTTCTAAGCCCTTTTCTCATACTTTAAGATTTTTTTAAGTGAGCCTCTTAAAATTTATATAAGAGTTTTATATAATATTTGAGAATTTCCTTTGATTTTAAATCACATTAGCATTGCTAATGTTCTTGAGAGTACAAGTTCATGAATTTAAGAATATTTTTGTACTTCTTTCATTCATTCTAAACTAAGTTAGAACTTGCAACAACTTCTGCAAAATATATTCAGAAGAAGTAAAGTGAGTTTCAATAATCTATCTTCTAATCCTATAAAACTGTCTATCCTCCCATTCCTTGATCACATTTATCCTTATGTTTAAAATGTGGATGATCAAGGAATGAAAACAGAGGGGAAGGATGAAGGGAAAAAAATTGGTTCTACGTTTTCCAAATTTTTATCCAACAAAAATTGGATATGTGATGGATATTAATTTCTAAATATCATGGAAGGAATATATTGCCCAAATAGATTGAAAAATCCAACACTAATGCAATCTGTATCCACTAAACATCATTTCAGTTCTGAATAAAGTGAGCTATTTATTTTAAATGAAAAGAATGAAAACAAAACCTAGCTCTTCACCTTATTTTTCTGGATTCTAATTTTCTATATTTATACACAACCATAGACTTCTACAAAAATTAACAAATTGATATTATCCTTTGCCATCTACAAAATCAGATAATAGGGAAAGGATTTGGAAATATTTGAAACAAATATAGTTTGATGAAAAAATAATTTTTCTTGTGGCTACAGTATTTGGTCAAATAATGACCTGGAACTAAGGAGAAATTTCCTGACCATGAGAACAATTAATCAGTGGAACTGTTTGCTTCCTGAAGTTGTAGGTCCTCCGTCACAGAAGGTTTTTAAAAAGAGAATGGACAACATTTGTCTGAAATGGTATAGGGTTTCTGCTTGAGCAGGGGGGTTGAACTAGGAGACCTTCAAGGTCGTTCCAACCCTATGATACTATGACAAAGATGTTGACTTAAATTCTCTTTGATCTTTCACAAGAGAGGACTATTTATTTATTTACTATTAAATTTCCATCTCCTCTACAAGATGACTCTGGAGAGACAACTGTATTTCTTTCATTGATAACACTTTTTTTGTAATAATTATTCCTTAGTATTAAATTCAACTGAGCCATAGTGAATACCATTATGTATTTGGAGAGATTTTTGCAAACGTTTATCCATCTTGATTATTTACTGACAGTTCATTGTCTGATCATCTTTCCATAGCCTGGATTTTTCTTGTTTCCCACACTACTACTGACTCCCAAGGGAAGACCTCAAGACTTTTCCCATGGCCCTTGTTCCAACTAGGAATTGTGAGCATGCAGAAAGACTTAGCATACAATAAAAATGTGTCACAGAAAATACAACTAACCGTTGCAACTTCCATATCCATCTTTTTGGGATGCACAATAGTTTTTTGGGGGGAGGGGAATTTTGATAATTTTGAAACCAGGGAATGATGAACAAGAGTAAGCTCCATTCAGTGATATCCAATAGTAGATTGGAGAAATTTGAGGTTAGTGGCTTGCCACACTTTTCTTCCATTAAAATGATGGCATATTTCCTTTGTGACCCTGCTCATAATAAAGCCATTTTCTTAGTATAACTTTTCACATATCCCCATTAACATGTGTATTGTCCCACATTATGTTATGAAGATCCGTTTTTTTTTTAACCAAAACAACCATCCACAAAATCCACAAAACATCTATGATTCTTGGACATACCTGCAGTGAATAACTATGGGTCCTGCATCAGGAGGTGTAGAAGCTTTGACTCTGCGAATGAATGCCAGCAGCCCTGTGGCGTGGTAGGGTACCCCGTGTTCTGGCCATGATGTGAAGTGGAACTGCTGAACTTCATGCCTTGCTGAATAGCCTCTCTGTAAGTAATGAGAGTGAGATAGATCTACACTACTGATGTCCAAAATAGCTATTAGTTGACCTAACCCTCCTTCCTTCCTTCCTTCCTTCCTTCCTTCCTTCCTTCCTTCCTTCCTTCCTTCCTTCCTTCCTTCCTTCCTTCCCTCCCTCTCTCCCTCCCTCCCTCCCTCCCTCCCTCCCTCCCTCCCTTCCTTTGAGGTTGCTGGAGGAAAACTGGAACAAGAAATACATCTAGGAATGAATTTTAATCACAAAAGTGGGCTTATTCCAGGACTGAAGGTCATGCTCTCTGTTCTGCTTTGTGCATTGCATCCTAAATCACTTATCATTATTATGATAGAATGCATTCTTGCTGAGCTGCTGTCAGGTAAATTTAATACGCTCAGAAGATTACCTGCTTCCAGGTTTCCTCATTACTAGATTCAGTAGATTTTTTATGGGGAAGTCCCAGATCCCTGATTAAGGTCTACTGAAAAGTATGGTAAATATCTTGGAATGGTTACAAGGCAACTAGATCCCTGGAGCTCTTTTGTTCTTCACTTGAAACAAACTTGTAATTTAATATTTTTCCAGATTAAGGGGGGGAAGCAAATTACCACTGTGGTTGTCCCAAGGTTGAGCAATTACAATTGCTCAATAATTGCATGAACCTTGTGACCTCTGTCTACAAGATAAAAATGATTATCCATTCCCTGTACAATTAATATGGTGCTTAGGCTCAAATTAATCCATCAAGAATGTCCACGTAAATAAAGGGGTACTTTACAGTATTATTTGCTAAGACAATGACCTTTGATGGAGTTTCTGAAAGCTATACAACAAGGTTCAGATAGCATGATACTGATCAACGTGAAATGTTAATATATTAAAATATATGTTAGAGGTTCTGGGCCATTTCGTGCAGTCTCAAGGCTGTGTTATGCTGAGATCAGATTATCCACCATCTTGGGATGTATAAAAGAGGACAAAGTGGTGTTAAAGCCATGGGACCTTTAACACACCTGAAACAGCAAGAAAGAAGAACAAAAAGCCAGAAGGAAGAAGGAAGAGCAGTAGCAAGTAATCTGGGAAGATTGTCAGTAAACTAGGACTTTCAAGATTAACTAATTTAACTCCTAGTCTCTATGGATTCAACCATGCATTTTTCTTGGGAGTAATATAAGAGTGCTGAATTCTTTTAAAAATGTTTTCTTGAATTCTCAAATTAGTGGTCTCTTAGTGGTCTGCTATCCAAATGTTATCCAGATCTGACCTGCTTAACTTCCAATTCCAGGTAAATCTACCTAGCTTCTACCATTTCACTGAGACACCCTGGTAAATGAACAGTCAATGATTAGCTACATTTGCCATGGAAGTCATTCTGTGAACAGAAAAAGCTCTTGTGATAGCCCTTTTATAAGAATAGAGAGACGGCTGTCTTTCAAAACTCTAAATGTGTTCACTGAACCAAGCAAGGTTTGATCTATTTTACATTAAAAACCTTCCCTTCTCGCAATCTTTTACATTTAAACTTGGTTCTTGCCGTTCCTTCAGGGGGAAGGGTTTGTCAAGGCAGCTTGCCACAATTGAATGATTCCTGTCTGGAGAAAGAACACGACTGATGCAAGATCTCCAAGTAACAGTTTGAATACAGAAAAAAAAGTGTTCCTTTGACATCTCGTTCATTTCTTTTTATTACGGTTGCAAAACCCGCATTATCAAAAATGTATAAAATTCAATGTGTAAAAGATAGGGAACAAAATAGACTGAATAAAAGTTAAAACTAAATTCAGAGTAAAAGGATAAGAACTATGGCAACCGACTGACTGCATTCAGTGGTAGACAATTAATTGGTCATCTTTGAAGATCACAATTTAGCACAAAACACAGCAAATCTTATAGGTGTGATGGACATGTCTATCTGCTAACAGCTAAAATACATAAAAGTCACCAGTGTATCTTGAGAGCTCAAATAGTAGATAGACCATAAAAGCAGTCTTCTGTCATTTTCTGCCACATAGAAAAAAAATGGATTAGGGTTCTCTCTCGATCAAACATGCTAGGGCAGTTGATAGTCTTTCAGCATGGTTGTGTTATTGCAGATGTTTCATTACCCAACTAGGTTCATCACCAATGCATTGATGTTACCTAGTTTGGCAATGAAATGCAAGGAAACAAGCTCAGAGATGACAAAAGATCCTGCAGTTGAATTCTGAACTACAAACATTCTCTTCTATCAGTACACAAGGGCAGATACAGCCTTTCACTAATATGTTTTGGAAACACACATATCCTTTCCATTACTATCAGCAACAAATAAACAAGCTAATGAAAGCAATCTTATCAACATCTGAGATACTAGAGGAAAAAAATGGAATCTGGTGGTCAGTAACTGGCTGTATTGCCCTATCAAATCTACATACACAATCCATTTCTCTAGCCTTGCTAAATCCCAGATATGCTAAGCAAGTAAGGAAGAGATCAAATCTTACCAATATATTCATATCAAGAAGCCACCCATTTGAACAGAAAAATAAGCATGGATAGGTTTCCTGCTAAAATAATAATTTAAGGGGATAAAAAAGAAAACACTATAATCTACGCTGTAGCCTCCCAGAGGCCTGGTTTACTTCCAAGTTAAGTATGGCATTTGTGACACATTTCAGAGAAGAATAGAGCATTCAGAGTATTATTTTGACAACCTCTAGCTTCTTTTCGAAGCATGACCTCTTACAGCAACAGCAGCAAGCTGATGGCATTAAAAACTTTTAGCCCTAAAGCAATATGTAAATCACCAATTCTATGGTCAAATTTAAGACTGGCAAAGGCAAGTGTTTTCAGCATTATTCATTAGATATGGCAATTGTGCATTCCACAATCCTGAGGCATGAAAAAGTTCTCCCAATATTTAGAACAAGCCCCTTGGCTCTGTTGCCTGTCTGTTAATCTGCCACCTGTGTTTAATCAGTCCCTTGGCAAAAACTTTAGCCTTAATTTTAGACTAGTTCATATTCAACGTATCTTCTGTACAATAGGAAACTAGAGCCCTTAACCTTCTCCTCAGTCCACGTATGTCTGTGAAATCAAAAAAGCAAAATTAGAGAGTGGTTGGCCTACTAGACAATGTGGGTGATAATACATCTGCCAAGAGGCAAGATCTGTAATTATGTATGTATGTATGTGTAAGGACCCACCCACTTTGCATCTTAAGAAGACAGAACTCTTGGAATAGTTCTTCCAATAGGCATCCTTTATTAAGAGAAAATGGTTGCAGGCGTTCTAGAAAGCACTTGGGGTCCAATCTCTCCCATTCAAGGTTTTAAGGGGTTCCCCAGTAGCCCCACCCAATCACCCTCTTCTTCCAGCGACAGTCTCAGACATTACACTCCCACCCCCTTTTCCTTTTCTATAGTTGATAACTAGAAATGAAATATAATTGGATTCTGACATCCTGCCCCCTCAAAAATAAGACAGATCCACCTGAAAGAAACAAAACAGGTATAAGAGTTAGTCAGGCTTGTTAGGATATTCTGTGTGAAACTTCTTTAATAGCTTCGGGGCTCTGACATGGCAGGGAGGTGTTTCCAGGCAACTAGGTACTGAGTCGCTCCATGATATCTCCTAGAGTCAAGGATTTCCTTTATTTCGAAGTGTTGTTCACCCTCCACCATGACTGGAGGTGGTGGGAGGGATTTTTGGCCGCAAAGGTGACTGACGCTCTCTTTTCAGCAAGCTGCAATGAAAAATTGGGTGTATTTGCCTGAGATTTTTGGGTAATTCTAATTCTACTGTTACTGGGTTTATGATATTTTAATTGGAAAAGGCCCTATATATTTTGGTCCAAGTTTTTTACAGGGCTGTAGGGACTTTAGGTATTTTGTAGATAAATACACCATTTCTCCTATAATGAATAGTGTAGGCTCAACCCTTTTTTTATCGGCTTGTGCTTTGTATACCTGCCTAGCTTCATCTAGTGCTTTTATGACTATTGGCCAGGTGTTTTGTAATTGTTCCATCCATTCTTTCAGTGATGGGATCGCCGGTTCCTGTGCGGTTAATTCTGGCATGGGGTTGAAACTTTGACCGGTGGCTATTTGAAAAGGAGTGTAACCTGTGCTGGAGTGGACTGCATTATTGTAAGCAACTTCTAGGAAAGGGAGTAGGTCCATCCAATTTGTTTGCTGAAAATTAATAAAACATCTTAAATATTGCTCAAGTACTGAATGAAAACGTTCTGTTTGTCCATCCCCTTGTGGATGATGGCTAGATGTCAGCCCTGAGTGGTCCCTAAGGGGGATCAAAATTCCTTCCAAAATACAGACATAAATTGCACTCCCTTATCAGAGATGATGCGTTGGGGTGCCCCGTGCAATCTGTAAATGTGCTGGATGAAAAGTTTCGCTAAGCCTTTTGCGGTGGGAGTCTTTTGGCAAGGGATAAAGTGCACGTGTTTGGAAAACAAGTCCGTGACCATCCAAACAACAGTATTCCCATTGCTTTCTGGCAATTCCACTATAAAATCCATGGCTATTTCCCCCCAGGGGGCTGAGGGATTTGCCACTGTTTGTAATAGTCTGGCGATTTCCCTTGCAACCTCTTTGCAGTAGCACATTTTGGGCAGCTGGCTACGTAGTTTTCTATGTCCTTTTTTATGGATGGCCACCAAAATTGCCGTTTAATTAAGTGTAAAGTTTTTACAAATCCAAAATGCCCTGCTGATTTTGTGTCATGGCAAAGCTGCATGAATGTGACTCTTTGGGTTGTTGGTATATATAACTTTTCCCATACCCAAGGCAACCCTTCTGTCATTGTGCACACATTTTTGTTTTTATGGAACCATTCATCTGTTTCCAAACTTTTCTGGAATTCAATTCTGATTTGGCTGTCCAGTTGTGGTTTTAATTTAGCTTGGGTTCTTGTGGTTACTGGTGCTGCCAGTTGTGACTCTGCCATCATTGGTTTAGAGTCTGTGGCTCGCGCGCTGTTATATTGAGGCATGCGAGACCTGCCAGGAAGTTCT